AAAAGGTAAAGGTTCCCCTCGCACATGCGTGCTAGTCATTCCCAACTCTAGGGGGCGGTGCTCATCTCTGTTTCAAAGCTGAAGAGCCAGCGCTGTCCGAAGAGGTCTTTGTGGTCATATGGCCGGCATGACTAAACACCAAAGGTGCACGGAACACTGTTACCTTCCCACCAAAGGTGGTTCCTATTTTTCTACTTGCATTTTTTACATGCTTTCGAACTGCTAGGTTGGCAGAAGCTGGGACAAGTAATGGGAGCTTACTCCGTTACATGGTGCTAGGGATTTGAACTTCCAAACTGCTGACCTTTCTGATCAACAAGCTCAGCATCTTAGCCACTGGAGTCACCGCATCCCTCTATGTACATACGTATGTACATAGATTCATAGTATAGTCTAAAATAAACAAATCAAGATTTCCCTGTATAAAACACTGCTGACCCTTCCATAAGCAACCTTTCCAACATGGTGTTATACATTCCAGTTTTAATTTAGCTTGCTACTGATAAAATGGGTAGATTTTTAGTTTTAACTTCTAGGCAAGTTTCTACATTTTTAGGGGAAGAAATATTATTGTTGTTTTTAACTTCCTATACCTTGTTCTGCAATCAGGATCATGCTCCTGTGGACTTTTTCACACCCTTTCAAGTCTACTTCTGGAGTTTGTCCAGTTAGGGGCAAAATAAATCTTATTTGTCAAGAAACACTTTTTCAAAAGTATTCTCTCTTTGAAACTAAAATTCAACTGTTTTTCACCCACAGATGAATTGGATCGTGCTATTGACTAATCAGCAACAGTTACATCACTAAGCACTATAACTTAGATACTAGTACTAATCTCCATCAAAGTGTCATTTAAAGGGCATATTTGTTGCTATGGTCTCAGCTACCTATTGACTTGCCTTTCCTCATAGGTTATTTTGCCTTCTACATCCTTTATTGCTTTTATCTTCTTTTAGTCCACGATTATCTTTAATTCTTCAGATCCTTCTCCCACGTCCGTTGATTAACTGGGCATGTTATTTCCACTTAGATTACCGCCTGGAGCTGTAGAAACTTTTCTGAATGAAAGTTAATTTAGGGACAAATTCAGTATGCTATTCTTTTAGAACTCTGCCCTTGCCATGTGAAGATGTTTGAACAACTTTCATAGGTCCTATGGCATGATATACCTTTGCTTCCATTAGAAATGTTTGTTCTCTTTGATTAGGAAATTCCCAGTAACAGAGGAGCAGTCTCCGTCTCCTTCCATTCGACTCCTGGAGAAGAAGAAAGAGGCCAAATTGGTGCATCAGGCTATGGAAGCTCAAAAGGAGGTATCTCTCCCCCCCCTCTCTCCTGCTCCCTCCTTCCCTCCCTCTCTCCCCCCTCTCTCTTAATTTATTCAATTTTTTTTAAAATTAGAAAGATAAAAACAAAAAGAAGAAAGAAAAGAAAGAAAGAAAAAGAGAGAAAAAGAAAAGGAAGGAAAGGAAGGAAGGAAGGAGGGCAGGAGAAGGAAGGATCAGAGAATAACACATTTATCATATTTCTTTACTCCTTGAAAACACAGAATGAATACTTCCATGACAATCTTCCCCTCTTTAGCAGGGAGTTTGACTAGAAGACCTCCAAGGTCCTTTCCAACTCTTTTATTCTGTTATATTATTTTCATTTGTCCTTTGCCAGATAATAAAGTTTGATTCCCATCTGAGATTCAGTTTGTATCCTGGTGGAAGTGAACTGTGTTCATACTACCCAAAGGTCTGTCATAATTAAATGACTTATTATATACTCTTTAGGCATTTAAAACAAGAATGGAATCCCTAAACAACAGGTGGGAAGAGCTTGGTACAAAAGAAGTCCAGCTGAAAGCTTACATTAAGAAATTTGAGCAATTCATACAGGTACAGATTCCTTATAGATTTCCAGCTTATTTTAATAGTAATTGCTCCATCCTACAGGGAGTCCTCGACTTATGACCATTTGTTTAACAGCAGTCCAGAATTATAATGGCACTGAAGTGACATATGGCCTACAGTTATAAGTGACATACCCTTGCAGTCATTTGATTGCAATTTGAGTGATTGGCAACCAGCTTGCATTGACGATGGTTGCAGCATCCTGTGGTCGTGTGATTGAGATTTGTGAAGATCTCAGCCAGTATCCTACAAGCAAAGTCAATAGGAGCAGCCAGATTTCCTTAACATCCATGTAATTTATTTAATGATGTATGATTTGCTTAATGACTGCAGTATTTGCTTAACAACTATAGTAAAAATTGGATCTGGTCATCTGATAATTTGCTTAACCAATGGCATTGCCTAGTCGACCTAGTGGTTGAAATTCTGGCTCAATTGTGGCTGCAAGTCGAGATCTACCTTTATGTTCTAGTTAGGAACTAGTAATTCTCTTTGTGGTTCTCTTGAAACCATGCACATGATATACTGTTTCTTTTCCCATCAGGTCTAGTAATAAAGGTTGCACGTAAGGTCAAATTGGAAAAGAAGCAAAATAGGCGAGATATGTGTAATAAAACCCATAGCCGTTCAAAATTATTTCCTCTTTTAGCAATGGCATGTTTCCACAATAGCAAAAAAGATGGCATCTAGTAGTTTATTTATTCATCCATTTATTTATCACCTTTATGAGGTCATCATCCCATTCTAGGCAGCTAGAAACAACATACACAAATTGTTAGATAAAATAACAGTGCATATAAAAAAAGGGAGAAACTTTAAATCAGAAGAAAACTCTGAAATATTTGGGTTTTTAGTAATTTTAGAAAAATCAACAAAGGAGCCACCTTAATTTAGAAAGGACCTGATTTAAGCCTCATGTTTGGCCACACTAGAGCCAGCCAAAGATTTGACTGACTTATAGACTTATAATTTATATAGCTACTCATCTCACTCTGGATGGTGTACACAATTTGAAACTAAATAATCAGCATAATTTATCCATTAAAAACAGTTTAAAAAGGATAAGAACAAAAAAAGTCAGGAAGAATGCACACTAAACTTATACTAGCCATTTAATTTCATTGTATTTAAGTACAATGACAATAAAGATTATACTTAATGGGCTCCAGGCTTCCATGGGATCCCCAAGCTAATGGACCGGTGTGGTGCCATATCTCAGTCAAAAAAAATGCTTTGTATACAAAAGACTGCAGATTCAATTTCATCTCCAATAGCAAAAGCACTTAGACTTACAGCCCTCTCTAAGTGGTCTACAGAGTCAGCATATTGTCCCCAACAATCTGAGTCCTCATTTACCCAGCTCGGAAGGATGGAAGGCTGAGTCAACCTTGAGCCTGGTGACATTTGCACTGTTGGCAGTTGGCAGAATTAGCCTGAAGGACTGCATTATAACCATTGCACCATCACAGCTCCCCACTAAAAGGATAAAGTTAAAAAAAAATGTTAGGGCTTATTTTTTTCCTGAGGTCCTAAAGATTCATTATTAGGCCTTTATCCTGACCTGATTTATGGCAATTTCTTCTAAAATACTGTCATTCTCATATATTCCATGGAGACCTTAACATTTCCAATTACCTTTTCCCTGCCCCCTCCCTTTTGCTTCTGGCCTTTGTTCTTTGTCTTTGTCTTTGTCTGGGTTCATTGGGGTGTGGGAAATGTACTCAATATGTGGATTATTAGGAGAATGACCAGAAACGGATCAGAGCTCTGAAGAAAGCCAACAAGGAACGAGAACTGAAGAAACAGCGGGTGAAGGAGCTTGCCAAGGTCAAGTTAGAGATCGCAGCTCTCAAACAGCAGCACCAAAAGCTCTACAACAAGCTACAGCAATACTCAATCTTCAACAAGTATTTGGAGAAGGTGGTGCAAGTCTCTGAGGTATGTATGAGGAAAGAATTGCTGAGGAAAATCTAAGGGGCAGTTTCTCTGATCTGAGATTCTCCCAGTGTACTTAACCCCCCCCCCCCTTTAATTACAACCCTTTACGGCAAAGATTCAATCTCCAACAAATGTAAAAAGGATTCGATTGGGAATAATTGTCTTAGCTCAGTAACAGATTTGTCCTTTCTTCTTTAAGGTTTGGGTCAACCAAATGTAGGTTGGTATAGAACTTTTAGTAGCATTTAACTCTCCCCACAGTACTCCACTAGAAACTCATAGTTCACTTAACACATAGTTCATTCAACGCTCATTTAATATATCATTAACCAATGATATCATTAACCAATATACCATTAACCAATGAACAACAAAGTCTGAATTACAGAATAGACCATAGAGAAGTATTCCACCAGGATATATAAAGTTACATGAGTACTGAGGGTATTTTTTTTAATCCTGAAGATTTTTCCTGTGCATATTGTATTTGTGCAATGTGCAGCTTAATTCAGCTGCAACCAGTGTGAATGAGTGATAGGCAGACTCATCTCTGTGTGTGCATTTTCTCTGAACTTAATCAACCTTATGCTCTGGAAAAGATTCCCTACTTGTCATCAAAGTGTCTAAGTTATTATTATTATTATTATTTAGTTGTTATCCTTCCTTG